AGTTTAGCAAACCTTTTCCCCGCCTCCCTCAATTTCGCGAATCGGCGCCCGATCCCGCTCTTTTTTGCAAAGAGAAGCATCCCTTCGCCAGAAACCGCTCCCTCCTCCTATATTTCGGGAAGCGAAGCATCACTTCGCTTCCTTCTCTTCGTGATAAAAGGAGAGACTCTCCCTCATATTTTATATCTGTAAGTCACAAGAAGTCAAGATTTTCTTCTTTAGGTTTCCTCGGGATTGAGGAAGAGTTCTTCAGGTTTTCAGGGACAGTGGAAGAGAAGAAGTGTAAGGAGGAGTAGTTTCTTGCGGCAGAAGGAAGAAGAAGAAGATTGTTCTCCCTAGGCTTCTTCTTGGTGGCTTGTGGCAGAAGAGAAATTGAGTTTATTTCTCTTGTAAGTTTGTCTTCTTCGGTGTATCTCGGTGTAGAGTTTTCTTTGGTGTATCTCCGTGTAGAGAGAGAAGAACAGAGAGAGAATAAGAGAGAGAGAGCAAAGAAGAGTGAGATATTCCTCTTGTAAGTCGAGGTTATCGACTGGTGTAAATTTCCTCAAGTAGTAAAATCTTCTGCAACTCTGTGGACGTAGACAATTTGCCAAACCACGTCAATCTGTGTGTTCTTTTCTGTTGTAATTTTTTCTCATTCTATTTTTCGCTTCGTCAATCGTTCTCCTGTTTGATTTATACATATACCACATCAACTGCTCTGGTATATATATTTTATAACAACTGGTATCAGAGCTTTGTTCAGATCTGAGGAAGAATGATAACTGCAGATGAAGTGAATGTTTCATGGATCGAGAAATTTGATGGCACAAATTTTGTTTATTGGAGAATGCAGATAGATGATTATATTTATGGGAAGAAACTTCATCTTCTGTTATTGGGAAAAAACCTGAAAAAATAGATGAGACTGAATGAAATTTGTTGGTGAGACAAGTTCTGGGGGTTATTCGATTAATTCTATCGAAAACTGTTGCACACATCGTTGTCAAGGAAAGGAAGACTGCAGATCTCATGACAGCCTTATCAAGTATTTATGAAAAGTCATCGGTGAATAACAATGTGCACTTGATGAAGAAGTTATTCAATTTGAAGATGGCGGAAGGTGTTTCTGTTGCTCAACACCTGAATATTTTCAATACTATCACAAATCAATTGTCGTCCGTGGAGAAATTGATTTTGATGATGAGATGTGCACTGATCTTGTTGGCTTCATTGCCAGACAGTTGGGAAGCCATGATGATAGCAGTTAACAGTTCTGCAGGTAAATCTAAACTGAAATACAATGATATTCGTGATTTGATTTGGCTGAGGAAGTTCGCAGAAAAGATTCTGTCGAGGTCTCAGGTTCGAGTTCGACACTGAATGTTGATTTCAGAGGGAGATGACATGACAGAAACTCAAGGATAGAGAGATTAAAATTAAAGTTTAGTAAGCAAGCAACCTGTTGAAATTGTGGCAAGGCTAGCCACATAAAAAAAAACTGCAGGAATCCTAAGAAGATGGTGAATGATAACGCAAATGTGGTATCTGAAGAATCACAGGATACATTTTTGTCGGCAGTTCATAGTTCTGTTGAAGACGATATTGGATTCAGGGCCTTTGAATGTGGTAGAAAATCTACCAAAGGCCACAATGTAGGGCAGTGATGGAAGTGAAGAAGAGAATGGGTCCAGGACACTCATTCCTATTGTTTCACAGACAAATGTTACAGAACCACAGAGCTATGAAGAAATCTTACAAGATGAAAATTTGAGCAAATTTGAGCAAGTGGGAGCAAGTGGGAGCTGGCAGAACTTCCACCAGGGAAGAAGACATTGCACAACAAATGAGTGTACCAGTTGAAGACTGAGCGTAATGTCATTAAAAGGTACAAGACTAAACTTGTTGGAAAAGGCTTTCAGCAGAGGCAGGATGTTGTCCATGCAGTGGGAGTTGTAAGAAGAGACAATAGTGACCCAGGAAATAGCTTGGAGGTGCAAAGCTATGTGGAGTCTGCTGATATGTTGACTGAGAGTGTTATTCTTGAGAAACTGAAGTTGAACACAGCTTCAGTTGGTCTTCTGAAGTGAAGACAGAGGCTTTGAGTTGTAGATGTGGATGATACACAGGTGGAGGATTCAAGGTAGAGGATTCATGGTGGAGGATTCATGTTTGAAGTAAAGAACGACACTATCAGTGGAGGATTCAGTTCGAGGAAGGAGACGTTGTAGCAGATGCACTGATCTCCAAGTGGGAGATTGTTAGCTCTGACGTGGAGTCCGGTCCACCCAACCCGCGAACTCCCGCTCCCGTCTCTCCTGTTTTCGCGAAACGACGCTTCCGATCGTGAAGGGTCACACCTCTTCACAAATAACCACTCCCTCCTTTCTTTTTTGCAAAGAGAAGCATCCCTTCACCAGAAATCGCTCCCGTCTCCTCTATTTCGGGAAGCGAAGCATCCCTTCGCTTCCTTCTCTTCTCTTCGTGATAAAAGGAGAGACTCTCCTTCATATCTGTAAGTCACAAGAAATCACAATTTTCTTCTTTAAGTTTCCTCGGGATTGAGGAAGAGTTCTTCGGGTTTTCACGGGACAGTGGAAGAGAAGAAGTGCAAGGATGAGCAGTTTCTTGCGTCAGAAGGAAGAATAAGAAGATTGTTCTCCCTAGGCTCCTTCTTGGTGGCTTGTGGCAGAAGAGAAATTGAGTTTATTTCTCTGGTAAGTTTGTCTTCTTCGGTGTATCTCGGTGTAGAGTTTTCTTCGGTATATCTTCGTGTAGAGAGAGAAGAACAGAGAGAGAAGAAGAGAGAGAGCAAAGAAGAGTGAGAGATTCCTCTTGTAAGTCGAGGTGATCGACTGGTGTAAATTTCCTCAATTAGTAAAATCTTTTGCAACTCCGTGGACGTAGGCAATTTGCCGAACCAAGTAAATCTGTGTGTTCTTTTATGTTGTAATTTTTTCTCGTTCTATTTTTCGCTTCGTCGATCGTTCTTCTGTTTGATTTATATATATACCACATCAACTGCTCTGGTATATATATTTCATAACAAAAATAATATTTTTTCTGATTTGGGTTTGCACAACGGAGTAAAAGGTGACATTGCTATAAATTATATAAAGTGTGTGAACTTTAGAGTAAATGTAGCACCTAAAAGAGAAAAAGGATTAGAAGGGATTAATAAAGCTAACTCTAAATTGTTAAGGCTAATGATGATGATGATTTGCCAGAAGATTATCTACTAGGAGCATACATTGATCAAATCATTGTCAAAATTTTCTTTTCTTTTCTTATTTATTTATTTATTTATTTATTTTTTTGAAAGATTTACATAGATAGCACAATTTTTATGCAGTTTTTACATTTATAGCACTTCACCTATACTTGAAAAGTTGCATTTCTGTTTGTAGAGGTTAGTAAGTGGTATTTTTGAAGTGATATAAAAATTTGAAGTGTTATAAATGTAAAAAATGAAAGGTTAAGTACTGTTAGATATGTAAATATATAGGAATTATGTGGCATTTATATAAATGCCCCCATTTTTTTCCAGAAGAACAAATTGTTATGCTGCTATGTGCTCTGAATAACTTCTACAAATTTTTTTAAACAGGTTGGCAGACCAATTGTCTATGGATTGGCTGCAAAGGGAGAGTTGGGGGTGAGAAATGTAATTGGGATACTAAAGAATGAGCTGGAGCAAACATTGGCTCTTGCAGGTTGTCCCAGTGTGGAAGATATCTCCAGAATGCATGTCCAAACCCCAGCTGATAGGTTAAGATCTTTGATTTAATGGCCTATCTGTAACCCTATTATGAGACGTTTGTATTTGGCTACAGGAAGGATTAGACGATAGTAGGATTTAGTAAATCCGGACCTTAAATCCAAATTTCGTACATCTATAGAACTTGTGCTTTTTTATATTTGACGATAAATCATGTTAACAGGACGCTACCAAACACCCCCATAGAAGAGAAAAAACAAACGTATGCGCACGAGTTTAGGATGTTTGTGCTCCCACTTATAATGTTAATATTGAAGAGACAATGCAAACACAAATCAAGAAATATGAAACTTTACACGAACAAATTTTGAGAAGGAAAAATCACAATGACTAGCTTGTTTAATGACTTGCTTAAAGTTATAAAGAGGTATAAGAGGACGTCACGGTGTTTCCATAAAATTTTGCGGTTTTTTTGGAGTTGGATCTCCAATTGTTTTTGTAAATTGATTAGTGTCTTATGCAATTTAAAAATTAATTAATTAATTAATTAAATATTAGTTTTTTTCAAAATATTACCTAAGCGGCTTGGGGGATACATCCTGGTATTTTATTAATTTTTTTTAAAATTTTTTGATTTTTTTATTTAGTTAATCCATTAATTTATCAAATTAATTAATAAATTGTTAATTAATAGTTTATTTATATGCTTTGTTATGTATCTATATGTCTATTTTCCTTTTTTATTCTACTGACCTTAGAGTCCCACTCCTAAAAATCAGATGATATATTTATCATTTTTTATATATTTATTATTTATAAATATTATATAACTCTTTTATTTAGGTATTACCCAAGCAGTATTCAGAATTTTGGAAGTAAATTTTTTTAAGGGCAGTGGAGACCAAAGGTTTAATTTTATGATTTTTCAATGTTTCTTTAATTAAGTTCAAAATACCAATAATAAATTGGAGTTTTTATTTTTTCTTGACAGCGCTTTGTTAGTCGAGTGTTTTGATTATTTGTTTATATATATCTTTTTTTTTTTTTTGTATGATTTATACTGAATTTTTAAAATTTTATGTATCTAAAATATTCTTAAACTTTATTTATTTATTTATCCATGTAGTGTCGTGTTAGCAGTTGATGTGGCATGCGGTTGATTAGCATGTTTTAACCATTAGACATAGTTGCATTGTTCTCTAGAATGACTCAATTGGGACCATCCATCTAAGCAGCAATAAGAAAGGACATTAATTTCATTTCCTCCCTCCAATTAAGAAGCACTAGTCGCCTATGCGCCACACTATGATTCAAGTTATCTAAAGGGCCAAGCTTGGAACCATTGTATCCAAAAGGATTCAGAGGTTCTCCTAAAAGTTTTAACTTATGATGGTTTGGTCCTTAACCTAATCACCTTCACCAAGTTGTAGATCAAGAGAAAGGAAGGGATAGATGTTATGAATACTTGGATACAAGTCAAGTTAGCTCAATTCCTCCACTGGAATGTGTTGTCATGAGCTCATGAGCTAGTCTCCTTCTTATTGCAACCTCCGTGAAAGGTGTGGGTGAGTGGCTCAATCAACATGCTATAATAAGCGTGTAGGAGTTGGTCTAGAGTTAGTTTGGGACACTTAGAGAAAGAATTAGAGAGGAATGGAGGTCTGTGGAGTTTCATTTTGGATCGAGTTTTTAAATGTCCCAATTTGAATCAAGAATGCTCTTTTTAGCCTAAGCGGAAGTTAAAACTCATCCAACCATAGTTGCTTGTGTAGGGTATAGGGTGTAGATGACACTCATACTCATTAGAGCTCACAATTGAGCAGTTAGGGCTCATTAGAGCTGCCCTCAAATGGTTGGAGATATTGGGTACACATGTGGAGTGGCTGGACTTCCAGGAGGTAGTCACTTTTAAGTCGAGCTAGGAGAGCAACACAAACTTTGGGTCAAGGTCAGTCCATGTTAGGTTTTCCTAGATGTTTGAGAAGAAGTTTGTTGCTACTAATTTGGCCAATGATCCCAATGTTTGACAAATTATGAGAGGGCTGGTCTCGGTTTAGCCCAGTTGGTAAAATTGGGTGCATTTGGGTTGGCCTAGCGAGTTGGGAACTTGGGATGAGTGCAAGGCAGTTTATAGGATCCCTAATTAGGCTTAGGTTGAGACAGTTTAGCTTGTGCTCTAGAGATTGAATGAGATAAATAAATGGGATCATTTTTGTTCAAATTGGGTCAAGCCTCAATTAAGCCTAACATTGGACTAAACACGCCTCTTCACAAATGCTCAAAATGATTCAATTTGATTGGGCTTGGCTTTAAATTGAGCTAAAATGACTAACGATCCTAATTGGGCCACCGTATGTCCAAACCAATTTTGACAGAATTAGGGTTCAATTGATATTAGATCAAGTTTAATTGATTATATAATTACCTAAGGAGATGACCGAGAAGCTTCATTATGATTGATTTGAGTTTAATCTGACTTTGAGCTAGTTGTGCTCAGTTGGGTCCAATTGGGTTAATTGCTCAAACTGGTTCAATTTGGTGTCCAATAGTATTTGATTGGACTTGATATGCTATATTTACATACAAATGGTTATTTGAATTTTTTGCTTCACAAGAATAATCATTTTATCAGAGGAATGTGAAAAAATCATTTTTTCGTATCAATCTTAAGAAAGAAATCTACATGAATGTTCTCCTTGAGGTATCTATCTTCTCTTTTACGAAAATTTGCAAACTAAAGTATAGCTTATATGATTTGACCTCAACTCATGCATAATTCAATAAATTCCAGTCAATTTTGTTCTATTTGTCATATAAATATGACAAATACGGTTCATCATTATTTCTCTAAATGAGATCAAACAGATTTGTCTGTCTTCTAATTTAAGTTGACAATATTATTATTGTTGATATATTCTCTTACTCTAATCAACCATCTTAACAACACCTCTAGACCACATTTCATATAAAGAATCTTTGGGTACTAACTTCTTAGATTTGAATGCACACATCAATTCCTATAATATATTATATGCGGGCTCCTTTTACTTTGAAATGTTGTTAAAATTCTCCCTTTTTCTACCATACTATAAGTAAGCACAAAGTATCATAAGGAGAAATGTGTTCCTCTCCATGATCCCACCATATATAGATGAATAGTTGGTAGTTTAAACTAGTTTGTTATTATTTGACCGGATATTTTCTTTGTTGTTTAACTGTCTAATGATTGCCGAGCCTTAGCCATCACTCTCTATAGTGCTGAAAAATTAACCAGAGATTAATCAATCAAAACAGATAAAGTCAACCATTCTGTTCTAATCGCCTCAAATTCACCTAACTACACATATACCCTTCTATTAAATATTTATTTCCGTTCAAGTTACTCTCCATTTGCTTTACCTTCTAGGTGCATATTTCATGTACTTGTATATGTAAATTTGCGATATTAATTAGATAAATTTTTGTGTGAATAACTTCGTAATATGATTGAGATAGTAAATTAAAGTAAATACTAAGTTAATACGGTTATAATGATTTTTTATTTTTATTGTTATCTAAAATTTTAAGGAGATGATTGAGCTACAAGTATTTCAAACAAGGCTAATTTTATGATAAATTACTCTCTCATTTGATCCATATTTTGTTGATTCATGGCATTAATCATTTTGACGAATTTATGTTTTATTTGTTTTAATAAATTATATTATTGATGTCACTAAGAAATGCATATGATCAGGTACGTGGCTCGATGCTCATATCAAGCTCGATGGGTATTAGATAAGATTTGAGTTCTGATTCCACCAACTTTAAAATCTCATAGAACATCTCGATAATACGAATCTAATAATACCATAAATGATTCAGCATGAGCCCAAATAGGCTCATTAAGACACATGCAAAAAATAATAATTCATGATCCAAAAAATCAACACAAATTGTTAGATGAAGTGTTATAAGATTTTTGAAAGTACCCCCACACAAAATTCTATAAATAGGACTGACTTTTAATATGAAAGAAAAAATAGAGAAAAACCAAAAGCCCACGTTCTCGAAAAAAGCTTGAAGCTAACAACCATTAGTGATCGCCACCGAATCTTCAAAACATGATTGTCAATGTTGTTACAAATCCGTGTCACTTGACAATCTCTATCATCGAATCACCATCGACGGACAACCAACACAAAGTTATCATCACTATCCCCAGACTGCTCTCACTGGACCTTTGCCATAATCATAAACCAATTTCGCCTGATTATCACCATCATTACTATGAGATCTTCACCACCTTTTCATCACTCTTTCATTATTTTCAAAGAAAACCAAATTAGTACGCGACACAGCTTGTAACACTGCATTCCCTTATTCAGCGGCCATAGAGAGTTTTTATAACTCTCATCTAATTAGTCGAAACGTTTCAACTGACTACCTCATGGCTTTCATTCATCAAATTTTTCATATAAAAAATCTTTGAGTGATTCTTTTGTTTTTTATTCCATTTATGTGAATCTGAAATTTAGTGTAAGGTTAAGATGATAGACCCCCACACTTTTTCATCACAAATTTTCTATAGTATATAATAATAAATTTTGTATTTTATCATTGATGCATGCTAGAAAATTCATGGCGGTAGAGTAACAAATTATCGTCTTAGCGTTGTAAGGAAGTTCAACACACAGACAGATGAAATAGAAAAAAAAGGGTGATGACTCCAAAAGTTATTATTTGGAAAACCTGTTAGGGAAAAACAACGGGTCCTGACCCAGTTGCGGAAATCCACTATTGATTGATGATTACATAAATCCATTGTCCCACAGACGGGAAAGGACAACTATATTTCTCAGATTACAATGTAGACTAACGACGTCTGGTTGGTGGTGATTGATGACAATAGACGGTGTTCGACGGCGGTCGGTGGTGGTTGACGATAGTAGGTGGTGGTTGTCTGAGGTCGGTGGTGATCATGGGCGATTGACGGCGGTTGACGACGGAGGTCGGCTGTGGTCGACGGTGGTCTGCTGTCGTGTTGAGCTGCAGCTTCTCCTCAAGATCTCAGACTCTCTCTCGACTTCCTCCCACCTCATGAGAGGGATGAGACTTTATTTAAAATGTTATGGGTGCAATTAATGCAGGAATATGAACCATTTTGATCGGACGATTTGGAGAGCTTCCCTCGATCATACTACGTTTAATGGATATTTGAGTGCCTTAATGATGTCAGAATTGAGTGATTTTGGGC